AGGTCTTATGCCAGGAACCACTTTTCTATGATGCATGGTGACTACGTAAGTAATCTCTCGCATGTCTGGCTCAATTTATAGCGGACTAACGCAGTCTAGGCCAAAATGATGGGTACCTTTATCCGCGAAGCTCTGTGTCAGTAAGCTTGCTTGAGGCCACGATGGTGCGCTCGCCAAAGATCACCACCGCCCTCTTATTTATTAGTCATGGTCACATTACTGTCTTACCCCCTTTTATACGCTCCTTTTCGATGAAGTCTTATGAGAGATCCTGCATTGGGACTTTTTTGTTTCTGGTTGTATCTACTAGCGATAGGGCCGTACGGCGTGCAGCACATGATGGGAGATGGAGCACTGGGATAACTCAAATTGGCCGCTGTCGGTGCTCACGGTCTTTTACAGCTCATGCCTCCACCAAGTCTTATACTTTTATTAGAGAGGGTAAAGGTATGCCTCATCCTGGAGATGCTTCCTCCTCAGATCGTCGATAGATTATAGTGCATTTATGAATCGAATCGTCTTCGTGTAGTCGTCTGTAATAGGAAGATTGTTGAACACGCTGTATATCATCATCTTTTAGCGGATGACGGACAGTTCGGCTCACTGGCCAACAAGCTCATCCAGACGATAAGCTTACGTGTTCTTTGTGCTACGAAAGGAATGTCTTGGAGCACTCAGCATGCAGCCAATCGCTGGCGAAACTACGACACGCTAGGTTTCGGAGTGTCTATTTGTAATGTGGTCTTAACAGCGTCTGCGTAACCCAAGCTCGCTGATTCTGAGCCTATCACGATACAAGTCATGTTCAAGAGCAAAGATTTCTTTTTTTTCTTCTTCTATTAAAGACGACAGTAGGATCGCCTCACGCCTGCAGACTATCGGTAACCTCATGGTTTATTACAGGTACACACATCCAAAGTATGATACGAAGAAGCTGATCCTTGCTCTATGTACAGTGAGGGCGGTGGGCCCGCTGCGGGTGCGAGGTCTGATTTGGCTTACTCGGACCGCACGAGGCGGGACCGCGACTGCCAGCCGGCCGAATCGACGCTGCGCTTGCCCATGACGACCACGCTCTTGGCGTAGTCGCTAGTGCCGCGTGTTGGGTCGGCGTCGATGGCCTTGCACTGGGCGCCGGCCTTGTAGGCGCCGCGGGAGCCATTGACGCCGAAGAAGTCGCGCTTGGAGGAGGTGGTGGGGACCATGGCGCGGGCCGAGTCCTCGGTCCAGCCGTTGATGAAGTCGCCGTGGGAGCACCAAGCGGGGCCCGCAGGAGAGCTTGAAGGGGGCGGCGGCCGCCGGACCAGCCGTTGGGGGAGGACCTTGCGGAGGTTGTAGCGGATGCTGAAGCGAAGCTGAGGCATTGTCTTCATGCCCTTGGGGCACCAGTTCGGGGTGCCGTGAGTGCGGGACTTGTAGGCCGTCTCGAGAGTCGCCTCATTGACACAACTCGGGAAGTAGAGAAGCTGTTGGAGGTGAGTGCCGCAGGTCGCGCTGGGGAAGCCGTTGGCGTCAAGGGCACCGCCACCGCCGCCCTCGCAGAACCACTCGGCCTTGGAGTCGGCGGGCACCTGAGCCTTGGTCTTGGCCTGGGCGTCGCCGGCGACCATTTTCAGATTCTGTGGGATGGCCACCTCCGCGGGCGCCTCGCCGAGGTTGTAGTAGGCGCTGAAGCGGGCGACAGGGATGGGCTCGTACGTCTTGCCGCCATCCTTGGTGAAGAGAGGCGTGGGAATCCAGTAGACGGACAGATCGTTGGGGGTTCTCGAGGTTGGTGCAGCCCTTCTGAAGTTCGGGTGCTGGTCTTCGTGCTGACCGTGACGGCGTCGGAGCCGAAGAAGGAGTGCAGATGAGACTTGTCATACTGGTCAGGGAAGACTATGGGGTCGATGTTCTTGAGCATAAAGGGGCCGGGGGCGCTGATGACGGTGTAGGCCTGAGCCACGCCGAGCAGGGCGGCAGTGAAAAGAATGGAAGCAGACATCCTGCGTCTTGCTGAGTTATTGGAACGAATGTAGTGTAAAGAACGAAAAAAAGGGATGGAAGGGAAGGCGTGAACGACTAGATCAAAGTCAAAGAGCGAACGAAAAACTGACTGGACTGGAAGCAATACGTTTCCATCGTCGGTGTTGATTCTCTTAAGTACTTTAATGTGAGTTCCTCAATTGTGAGGTTGGCACCGGCCAGCCCAGCCACTTGATCCGCGAATGAAGGCCATAGGAGGCTGTATGTTGCGTTATTGAACCCCTCTGTAATTTCCGTTGACATACTGAAGCTGGCCAAGAAGTCGATATGGGCGTCAAAAACTCCCAATGCAGCACCTCAGGGGGATTACTTAACGCAAAAGAGGAATGGCGTCTATTCGATGTGTTTCAAATGAGGACGAAGGCCGAAGCATCCCTGAACATTCGGGAGGCACCACAATTTGTGATCTGTGCTTCGTCTGCCATCCAAATTCGACAAGCGCACAGGGACCTGATTGTGTTATGTTCCCGACTTCACATGGAATCTTGCGGCTGCCCCCGCCCGGACGCGGAGCAACAAAGATTGCGACTGCACAGCAAATCTCAAGCAACATAGTGTCAAGGATCATGTGGTTTGGAGTTTGTTTGAAGTAGAACAAGGCTAGGAGAAGAGACTGCCCCTCTCACGAGATATCGCGATTTATTCTAGACTTGCAACAGCGCGCTGATCCATGTCTGTCGTTCGACTACAAGTGGCCTGAGGTTTCCCTGAGCATGGGCTGACGCTCCATCAGTGCAGCGTGGTCAAATCTAGACTATTCATCATTGCCGTTCTTGCCGCGGCGTTCACTTGGCATCTCGGCTGTTTTAACGAAGTGGCCCAGAACCCACCCGATCTCGGGACAAGGCACGACAAGGGTCGGATCTTATCTTACCTTTCTAACTGAGCGCATTCCGCGTCTTGCTGTTCCTAACATACAATGGTTTAGCAGGGGCTGCGTGGTGTCTGGGTTAGCGTCTCTCTTTTACTGATAGCCTCGTAGCGG